AGCTAAGGCTCCTATACTATCAGAGCTGACCTATCAAGCAATATTGGAGCAAACAAGTTCGCAAGTTAACGTTATTTTAGTATTCGTTATGTTATTACAGAGATGCCATCTGCTGCGGTCACGCCAAAATAATTTAAAAAACGGTAAATAACTACAGAATAAATTTTGCAAATAAATGACAATATTTGTTTGCTTTTAAAAATGTAAAGCATGTAATAAGTACTATAAAGTGGTGAATTATATAAACCTAAGCATTGTTTAGAAATAGTGGTGGATTAAAATCTGCTAAATCGAACTTATGAAACCAAGAATTACAATTATTACACTACCACTTGAAAATATTTATTCGCTGTGCTTATGTTAGCTCCAACAATAAAAGATAAGTCGGCCTGTCAAATTCAGGGGCTCTAGGTTAAGCCTCTTATCAACAGGTAACGAGACGGTTTTTTAGTCTGGAAAACAACGGCTGAAAGCCCATATATATCGAGACGGAAAGGAGAAAAACTGGTAACAAATAAATTTCCTTTTTTAGTTTTTTTCCGGGAATAATAAAAATCCATAACTACCAATTGTTTTTAACGGATGCAATTTTTATATTGAATTGCTTCTTCGCCATGATAAATTTCCTTACAGTGAATTGTTATTATTAAGAATAGATTAACTCCTCCCGAATATTATCTAATATTAAAATAGTTCTTCTACCAGTATTTTCTCTTTTCTGTCCCACTTTCAGGCCTGCTAGAAACATAAAAATTGGTAGCACAATGATTTCATTATTTGTTTTATCTTCGAAAAGCAGAACACTCCTATCCAACCTAATATTTTAAAGTTATGAAACTTTTAAGTTCATCAATAATAACAAAATAATAGAAAAAAAAACTAAATAATAGCTAACGAAAAAATATTATTCAAACAATTATAAACTATCACTCTTTTAGAGCTTTTAAAAGTACTGTAATATATTAATTTCCGGTTTCTTTATGTAATACGTTGTTGAAAAAAATCATCAAGTTGCTATAATTATTAAAAAAATTAAAATGGATAAAACACTTTATAAAACTATTAAATAGTTCAAATATATTTAACAAATTTAATATCAAAATATTAAGTTTTGCGCATAATATGAAGGGAAATTTTTTAAATTAATTGTTTGTTTTTTTAAAAAACTTTTCAATTATCAATACAAATAATATTTCGCTTAAACCTGTTATTTGGGAAGGTAAATCATACTAGGAACAACTGTTCTAAGATGCTAACTTGCTCAGGACAGAGGATAAATTTTTTTGAGTGGTTGTTTTTGAAAATGTGATTCTTGAATTGGTAAATTCGATTTATAGGTCCTCTACTCAGAACTACTTCTAAATAATTCAAAGGCGTATATGAAACACCACTTTATCACAGCTGACACATGTTCATCACGTTAAAAAGTTGACATACTTAATCAAAATCTGCTAATTAAATTTTTTTTATTCTATACCATTATCAAAACATTTTGTCCAATCCGGAGCAGATGGCTTCTCTGATTGTTTGAACCCTGATAGCTCAGTAATTTTTAGTAAATGAGTATTAAGCCATGTAAAAACTATAACAAATAGTTATTTAAATAACAAATGTAGCTAGTGAATTCTTGTACTCATGCACAGATAAATAAGAGCAACCATAAGCTCGCAATGATTCAATCAAAATAATAAGAATTAAAAAAGAGTTACACGAGATGGTGCTTGGCTCTAAGCAATATCACCAAACGTAACCGCCAGGGTTGCAAATTTCATAAGTTAGATTAATTTATAAGAATGTAAACCTAATTAATGCAACTCAAACTTTTCTACTCAAGTACTTTAATTTTTATTAATATGACTAACTTAATTGTGTAATATGATATTAAATATGTTATACTGCATCATATTGTACTATTATATTGTAATACACAATAGAATATTATACTCATTGTATATTATGATATAGTACAATATAAGTAATAATAGCACTGAAAATATGAAAGAAGAGAACTTACCATCTAAACTAGATGGAATGGTGAATTCACTTGGTGTAAATATATTCATTCGTTTTTAGTGAGATATATAAAAATGCTGCTCCTTACATAACTTTCAATTTAAAAAAAAAAGTCTTTTTTCTAGTAGTAACAAAATTTCAGTTATCTTTTTATGGTATTTTCAATTTTAAGTAATTTTACCACCACTACATATGTATATATTCAAAATATGATATGAGAAGCAACTTCATAAAAATTATCTCAAAGCAACTCCACTGCCTGCTTACTTCAATAATCAACCATAACAGTGTTAATATTCCAGATGAATGAGATAGGGGTCACTTCGCGGCCCAG